TATATATACAGTATTCCGTTTCGAAATGATTTTGTAATAAACTATCTATCTATATATGCTATTGACGCGTATTGATGGGTTACCAACATTATTCGCTGACCGGGCATCATCCCATTTATTTATGTGTTTTTCAGGTCCCGAGTAGTGGCGAGCACGTTATAGAGATGGCTAGTGTAGTTCCCTGTTGGTCTGACCTTATCTCTTATTAGACTTTTAGACTGTTGATGTTGATGATGTTCTTGCCAGTGCGTTCACCTTAGTGTGGGCGTCGCATAACACTCTTCGTTTTCCAGTTTTATATAGTTAGACTTCCGTTGTGTTTTGCTTATGATTGTGGTTAGATTATCTTGCATATTTAAGTTTAAAATGGCATGGAAATCAGGGGTGTTACAGTTGGTATCAGAGCCTAGGTTTGAGCCTAGGATGCTAGTGTCTAGACTTTTAAGTGGTTAAGTGTGGTTTTGAGACCCTAAGTGACCGTAAGAATCTAAGTGATTAGGACTTAGGACTCTTAGGACGCACGGTGAGCTGTGTGTTGTTTATAGTTTGCTTGCATGCTTGTTGTTTTGTTTGTAACAGTGTTGTTGTTGTAGAAGCTTTGCGATGGCACCTCCCCGCCAGCGTGCACGTACGCCGGAGACCCCGACGAATGAACAGCTTGCCCAGAATCTGCAACAGCTCACGCAGACTATGCAGACCCTCAGCGAAGCGTTGTTGCACAACAACCATCCCGCCCCGCCACCGCAGCCTGCCGGGCACAGAGATGTAGGACGCCTTGTTTCGGGCCATAGACCTCCGACGTTCGCCGGCGAGGAAGACCCCGTTGTCCTTGAAGAGTGGGTTAGGATGTTTGACAAGATCTTCTCGGTCGTTGGGTGCCCCGAGGTGCGCCGTGTGGAGCTAGCATCGTTTTACTTCAGCCACGAAGCTGATTTGTGGTGGGTGCATGAGGGACAAGCTTGCCTCGAGGAGCCTGACTTTGACTGGACGGCCTTGAAGGACCAGATGCGGGTGCAGTTCTATCCGGCGCATGTTCGAGCCGCGATGTACGAGGAGTTTCTGCACCTCCAACAAGGTTCTTCATCGGTGGTTGAGTACCACAAGAGGTTTCTAGAGCTCGCCCGCTTCGCCAGGATGCTTGTCCCCACCGAGCTCGCAAAAGTTGAGAAGTTCGTAGCTGGTTTGAATTACGAGGCACGAAAGGCTTTAACCGTGAGTAGGCCGAGGTCTTTGAAGGAAGCATACTTGAGTGCCGCGGACCTGTATCGGGTGCAGCAGCTACAACGTGGATCTTTCGAGCTTGCAAGGAAGAGGACCGAGAGTGGAGGATCTTCCAACTTCAAGAAGACAAGGCAGAACTTCCAAGCCAAGACCGCACCGTCCCCACTGCAAGGATCAAACCGATTAGGGTCCAGTGATCAAATTAAGAGGTTTGCATGCAGAACCTGTGGACAAGAGCATGTGGGAAAAGACTGCCAAGTGAATGCGTTGCGTTGCTTCAAGTGCGGAGAGAAAGGTCACAAGGCTGCCGTATGCCCTCAGCAAGGTAATCAAAGGGCGTTGCCACCATCCTCGGGATCCGGGGGAGCGTCGGGCGGGAGCTTGAGTCGTGGAGCAGCCGGGGCCAGACCGTCGGGTAGAGTTTTCGTGATGGGGCGATCTCAGGCGGAGAAGGAGGGCTTAGTTGAGGAGGAGATAGCAGGTAACCCTTTTCTAGCCTACCCTTGTCTTTAGAACGCATCTTGTTCCTTGTTGCTTTTGTGTGTTGTCTTGTTTCCTTCGTTGTCTTTTTGTGTTGTCCCGCGTTCTTCATTACATGATTCTATTAGTCTTATGTGAAAGTCTTTCGTGGAGTTAATTGTTTATTTCTAACTTGGGTCGCGCTTGTGTTAATTCCGTAGCCTTGCACATGTATTTTTGTAACCTATCCTTCTTGTGAGTCACCTAAAAATTATCTAAGTGTCCTTTGAATTGGTAATAGAAAACCTTCTTGTGTAGCCTAAAAGACTAAGTAAATTTTAATTTGTAAGCCATAAATTTCAAACCTGGGTATATCGTTTACCAACCCAACCTTTGAACCACTTAAACTAATTATATTTCTTGAACCTTACCCAATTTTAATTCTACTTCACCCATAAATTCTCACATTACCCACAATCCCCAAATTAAATCATCTTTTTTTCCCAATTCCTCCCCAAATCCCAAAACCCTTAATTTCCTTTCCCTCCCCTCTACCCGTGTGTCCAGCCGAAGCAACCCCCCACCCCACCACCCGTCAACACCCCGTCTCTGTCACACCACCGAGCCACCACCGTCGCCACCGAGCTGCAGTGCCGCCACCGTCCTGCTGTGCCGCCATGAACCGAGAGCAGCGAGAGAGAGAGAGTCGATGCAAGAGAAGAAGAAGAAAGTGAGGAGGAAAACCTCGGGTATTTTCTTGGAGCTTTGGGTGATCTTGCAACCATGCCTAGGAGAACAAGTTTGGCAAGAAAAGTGGAATGGGTGAATGCCCATTATCTTGTTTTGGAAGGTAAAGCTTTCGACCCAGAATCTTTTCCTAGATCTTTGTTAGATATTTTAAGATATCAAGGATTGTTGGATGGGTTCCTCACCATAAGGTTTGAGACATACCCGAGCTTAGTTAAGGAGTTTTATCGTCACACGGTTGTGACCAAAGACGGTGGAAAGTTGGAGGTGACCTCTAAGGTGTGGGGCGTGAAAGTTGTTTTGTCTGAGAAGAGGCTGGCTCAACTGTTAAGTCTGACCACTACGGGAGTTTCACGGTACAGTGGTAACTCTTGGATTAGTACGGATACCATGGGGTACCAGGACTATTTGAGTTATCTGTTGGGTCGGACTAGTGGGTTCACCCAAGCCTCGAGACCGGAGAAGAAGTGGTTGACTGCTGAGCAAAGGAATTTGGTCATGCTTGTATCGGATTGTTTGTTTCCCAATAACAACAAAAGTCGGTTGTTGGGAAAGCTAGAGTGTACCTTTGCCTTCTGTCTGAAGAATATGGTAAAGTTTAATCTGCCTACCTTGATGTTGCAACACATGGTTTTCCGTCGAGACCACAACCGGAAGAGCTGGTGGGCTGTCGTAGGCTCCCAAATTAAAACCTTACAAACGTAGTAGCGGGAGTAAGGATCGATCCCACGAGGAGTAACTAGTTTAAAATATGTGCTCAAATTAAAGGAAGGGGGGTTTGGAATATATCGAGAATAAAGATAAATTAAAAGAGAATTTAAATAAACAAGTAATTTAACTGAACGAATAAAGCAATGAAAATAATATATCGAAAACACTTATAATAAGAAACCTTGGTTAGTAAAGATCCACCACCGGAATTTAACACTGATCATTGATTAATAAAGTAATTAATATGCAATTGAATATTTGTCGTGAAATTATTTCATTTCCGTTTTCCCTTAGTTGTAGGTAACTAAAGCACACGCGGTTTAATTACCCCTAACTACTAAATAACCCAAGACAAGCGCTATAGATTTAATTTAATAGCAGCAATAGGAACTAGGAGAACCGACAAACTAAATAACACAAGCACAAGCGGTTGCATTTAATTTAGGAAAATATTCTACCCGAGACCAATTATCACTAAGCCGTCAATAATTAACCTCAGTTGCTACTGAATATTAGAATAATTTGTAGCACAATATTATCTAATATAGCAAATAATTACACTACAAGAAAAATCACGATTCGCGACGGAAAAAATCCGTCGCGAAAACGTGAAATCCCGTCGCTAATCACGTTTTGCGACGGAATTTGTCATTTTCGCGACGGAATCCATTCCGTAGTCTCAAGGCTTGTCGTATTTCAATTCGTGACGGAAATAATCCCTCGCGAACGATGGCGACGGAAAATAGTGACGGAATTGTTCGTCGTGAAGTAGGCGACGGAAGTCATTCCGTCGCTAGTCCGTCGCGATTTTTGCAACGGAAATGTTTCTTTCTGTCGCCATTGCGTGATAAAATAATCCGTCGCAAAACTCATATTCCGTTGCATATTTCTGTTGTGAAAGATAACGACGGAAATAATTATTGTCGCGAATTCGTCGCTAACATTTCCGTTGCAAATTTTTTTTTTCCGTCATAAAATTTCGTCGTAGAAAAATGACAAAACAAATTGTCGTCGCTATTCCGTCGCAAACTTTTCCGTTGCAAATTTTGTCTTCCGTCGCACAAATTCGTCGTAAGAAAACGACAGAACAAATTCCTGTAGCAATTCCATCGCTAGATTTTCCGTCGCAAAATTTGTTTTCCGTTACAAAATTTCGTCGTAAAATAATAACAAAACTAATCACTGTCATGATTTCGTCGCGTTTTGGATGACAAAAATCTTTTCGTCGCCATAATTACAATAAATATTCCATCGCTAAAATTATATTTCATCGCAATTTTGCTAAATTATTATTTTAATATTTTGTAATTATTATTATTTTGTTAAAATTCTAATATTTGTATTTAAAATGTTAATGTCCAAACTAAAATACAATATAATATGTTGTACCCAAATACCAAATAAATGTATAAACAACAATATAGTAATTCATAAAAGAAAAATTAAATCAAGGTGAATCCGGTCGTGATGAGGGTGATGATGAAGTACCAGCTCTCTCACTCTGAAGAGCATTTAATTTTTGCTGCATAAGAACCATAAAAGCCTTCAAATTCTCAATCTCATCGAGGACCTTAGCAGAATTAGCATTCTCTGATGGCTGCGAGGTTGATTCTATATTGTCCGATGTGTTAGCATTTATTGGACTACGAATGAATGTACCATATGAGCCAAGTCCATAAACTCTTCTTTTTTTATCATGTCCGCCAACTGCATCATAGTACAATTGACTCTCATCTACTTCTTCTCCATTTTGTGTTAATACCTCCCGTTGCAATGCAATTTGATCCTGCAAAAATTTAACGAATTAGTACAATTTTTATAAAAATTCATATACATTCAAGGAAAATCAAGATTAAACTTACATGGATTTGTTTGTCTTTTTCAACTATAAATGTTTGACCATCATGTTGTTTGGTATGTGTATGCTTGAATAATTCAAAATATGATGGACGACGACCAAGTTGCTTTTCCTAAAAATTAGTTAAAATAGAAACAAAATAATATAAAAATTAAAACAAATAAGATTATAATATATAATAAAAGTATTTCAAACATCAACTCAATAAGCAGAATATAAATAGAATTAGTAAAATAGAACGAAATTTAGTAAAAATATTCAACAGAGTTTCCTTTATAAATAGAACTATCTCCAATATAGAACACAAACATTAACTCAATAGAGACAATAAAATTAAATCACAATGATTTTATCATAATAGTGTCAATACAAATTTCTACCAACACAATAGCACATAATTATTATATAAAGCAAACAAAATTCCGATAAAAAAATCAGCATAGTTTCCGGTATAAATAAAACTATCTCTCTGCTTAATATATAATATAAACATCTCAAACATCAACTCAATATGTACAATAAAATAAAATCACAAGAAGTTCATCGTAATAATATCAATAAAAGTTTCTACCAACACAATAACGCATAATTCAAACAATCCAAACAGAATCACTTATAACTTAAACAATTCGAATTAACTTACAAGTTGAGTGGCAATTTTGGAATGAGGTGTTGATCCTGTGGTATGCGTAGATTGAGCAACTCCATCTAAAACACCCCCACGTCTATTTCTCTTACCTAATTCTGATTTTTTCTTACTGTCTTCAGAATTCCAAACATCATTCCACTTTGCCCATATTTCTTCGTTGATATAGGGAGGTCTTGATTTGTTCTTCATCCTGCTTATATAATCAGCATATCTTCTTTTTGCCTTCACTTCCCAAGCACTATACACTAAATCTGTTTTAGCAACACTCCAATTAAAATGCTTCTGCAATACACAATATAAATAATATTAAGCATTAAAAGCTAGACATGTAAACAAAAGAATTTTTAGATATTAAAATATTACTTTGAACTCTTCCCAATAAAAGTTAATTGTATCATCACTAAGTTGCGCCCATGCATAGCCATTGGGATCTGTTCGTTCCTGGAATAGCTTAGTAATCTTTCTAGCGCAAACATCAGAGTGAGTCAACCTATAATAAAGGAAATTCATAGTTTAAAAGAAGTAACATATATTCAAAATTGAAATATCATTTTAATTTAATTAACTTACATCTTGCCCTGAACATCAATCGATACGGGTCCGTTATGTGTTATATTATCAACTCGATGATTTTGTTGCTCTGAAACATCATCCCCTGCTCTTTGATCATTAGTATCTATGGATGGCGTGGTTGGTATGGAAGAAGATAATGGTGTCGATGTTGATATTGGGATTGATTCTGATTCTGATGCAGCAAGGGTCGATGCTAATGCAGGGGTCGATGTTGATGCATGGGTCGATGTTGATGCAGGGGTTGTTGATACAGGGGTTGTTGATACAGGGTTTGATGTTGATACAGGGGTTGATGTTGATGCAGGGGTTGATGTTGATGTAGGGGTTGATGTTGATGCAGGGGTTGATGTTGATGCAGGTACTGGTGAAACAGGTACAGATAAAAGTCTAGCTCCGCGTCCACGTCTTCCACGTCCCCTAGCCATCTTTCCTGCCAAAATATGAAAGATATCATATGTTAGTGTTTCAAATAAAATATATTTAGGCATCACTTATGAATTATGTTATTACTTACTTCAACTCTAATTATTATCATCATTCTCCTCATCATCATCATAACAATCATCATTTTCATCTTCATTAGTTGATGAACTAGAATCAAATTCAGACTCATCACCTTCTTCTTCATCATTATCTGAATTCTCATTGAGAATGTCACCATACTCAACATTTTCATCATTTAATCTAACAAAAGAATCTTCATCTACACTGCTTACAATTTGAGTGCTTTCAACTTCTTTTTCTTGAAAGGCAATATCTTTCGGCGGAACATTTTCCTTTCTCAAAGACTCCATCCATCCCCGAGGTTGAACTTTACAGACAACTAACCAATCAACTTTGTCTCGTTTCATACTAGGGTACGACACAAAACAAACTTGAGTGGCTTGACTTGCTAAAATAAATGGCTCAAATTTATTAAACCTTTTCCGGGAGTTTATTTCAACCAAATTATACTTGTTATGCACCTTAACTCCAACATTAGGAGTTGGATCGAACCAATCACATTTGAACAAGACAGTGCGTTTAATTGGCAAAGCAGTATACTCAATTTCTAATATTTCTATCAGCTTACCATAGTAATCACCACATGTACTACTTATACAAACACCACTATTCATTGTTGATCTATTCTCACCATGTGACTCTGTGTGAAATCTATACCTGTTAACAAAATATACAGGATAAGATTTTACAGTTCTCAATGGCCACTTAGACAAATCACATATATACTTGTTTTGTATTTTGTTTTGACGTGCCTACACCATTGTAAAAGTTGTAGATGAGAATGAAGTTCTAAGTAGTTTAGAAGAAAGTAGTTATCTAAAGTACTTACATAATTTTCAAACCAATAACCAAAATTTTGTTGTTGTATTGCAAGTTCTGACTCACTTATCTCGGAATCAAGTTCTTTCATCATATCTTCATGTAAACTATAAATTTATATTCACAGTATTATATATTAATGAAGGATTCAACATTGGCTAAACATAGAATAGATGTGAAACTTACTTAATGAAAGGTTCCACTTCATCACAGTTAAGCAATATATAAGTATGAGCTGCCAAATACTCGGCATCAGTTAACCTTCTTATCTTACATCTTCCATATAGGCGGCCAAGATGTTTAAATATGGACAACATTTCTTCATCGTCCTCAACATCTCCTCCATCATCATTTCGAGGTACTTTTCGGCTACGTGTATAAACATGAGGCTCAAAATAATGAGAGCAGAATATAGATGCTTCACGAACTAGGTATGCATTGCAAATTGACCCTTCCACTTTAGCCTTATTTTTCACATCTTTTTTCAACTCATGGAGCAATCTAGATTACAACATATTTCAAATATTATATACAATTATACAAATGTATCAAATATTAGTATTTAACACAATAAAAAAGTAATTATAAAAGTTACCTCTCAAACCCATACATCCAACGATATTGGACAGGACCAGCAATTTTAGCTTCATCCGGCAAATGTATAGGCAAATGTTCCATTGAGTCAAAAAATCCTGGAACAAATATACTCTCTAATTTACAGAGAATTATTGGAATTTCAGCTTTTAATCTGATCATTTCTTCAACTTTAATAACTCTTGAAGTTAAGCTTTTAAAGAAAAAGCTTAATTCAGTTATTGCTTCCCAAACCTTGGTTGGCAACATCTCTCGAAATGCAATTGGTATCAACCTTTGCATGAAAACATGACAATCATGACTCTTCATTCCAAATAGTCTGTATTTGCTCATATCTACACACCTTCCCATATTTGACACATAACCATCTGGGAACTTTAAATTGGACACCCATTCACATAACACTTGTTTCTGCTTCTTGTCTAATGAATAACAAGCTTTTGGGTATTTACCTGTGGAAGGGCTCTTTTCTAACTCTTTTCTATTATAGAAGAGTTTCAAATCTTCTCTTGCTTTTGCATTGTCTTTTGTCTTACCCTGAATGTTCATTACCGTATTAAAAACATTCTCAAAAACATTTTTCTCAATATGCATGACATCAAGATTATGTCGAATGAGATTTGATTTCCAATAAGGTAAATCCCAAAAGATACTTCGTTTTCGCCATCCACAGTTACCAGCGCATGATTTATTCACCTCATCCGCATCAGCATCGGTAACCTTTAAAAATCCAAATTCTTCAATTTCCCTCAACATTTCTGTTCCATTCTTAATAGGTGGAGGATGACTCGTTTCCACACGATTTTTGATGAATCTTCTTTTGTTCAACCGAAATGGGTGATCAAGTGGAAGAAACATCCTATGATTATCAAACCATGACATTTTCCCACCCTTAGGAAGTCGGAATGCTTGTGAGTGTTCCCTACAATAGGGGCATGCTTGCTTACCTGATGTTCCCCAACCCGATAACATAGCATACGCTAGAAAATCACTAATTGTCCACATCAAGGCAGCTCTCATTTGGAAATTTTGTTTCAAAGACACATCGTAAGTTAACACACCTTCTTCCCATAATTGTTTAAGTTCAACAATAATAGGTTGTAGGAAAACATCCAGCTTGTTCTTAGGGTTCTTGGGTCCCGGTACTATTGCTGTCAGGAACATGTAAGGCTCTTTCATACACATGGACGGAGGTAAATTATAAGGTGTAATGATGATAGGCCAACAAGAATATTGTTGTCCTGACTGTCCAAATGGTTGAAACCCATCTGTGCATAGGCCCAGCCTAACATTACGGATTTCAGCTGCAAATGAAGGATGAATTGCATTAAAATGCTTCCAAGCTTCTAAATCAGAAGGATGGCACATAATTCCAGAATCGTGGTCATGATTCTCATTATGCCATCTCATAGAAGCAGCTGTTGTTTGCGAAGCGTAAAGCCTTTTTAGCCTTGGAGCCAATGGTAAGTAGTACATTCTCTTGTAAGGTATAAGAGGTCGCTTAGATGAACCACTTGATTTTTTATACCTTGGCTGCTGACAGAATTTGCATTGGGTCAATTGCTCATCATCACCCCAATATAACATACACCCCAACCTACAACAATCAATTTTCTCCACCGGTAACCCAAGTCCTTGTATTAGCTTCTTCGTATGGTAAAAACTGTCAACCATGTTATTGTCTTCTGGTAAGCCATCCTTAAACAATTGACAGAATGCATCAAAACACTGCTCTGGCAGGCGATATTCAGCCTTTATGTTTAGCAATCTAGCCACAGCAGATAATTGTGTTAACTTTTCACAACCAGACCATAATTCTCTATCAGCAGCATCTAACATGTCAAAGAATTTTTTATCTTCAGCATTTGGCTCCTCACTCACACTCCTTGCTACAAGAT